GGGCCGGACGGGAGGTGAGTGCCGGGCGAGGCGACGAGTGGGGGGCCGGGAGAAGATGAGGAAATGGGGGGGGGGAGGTGGTGTGGAGCTGGGGGATGGGCCGGGGGGAGGTGGTGTGGGCAGGGGGAGGCCAGTGGAGGAGGGGACGGGGCCAGGACCAGGGGAATGTGGGACGAGACTGGCAAGGCGAGTCTGCTGGGCGGTGGGCGGAGTGACTGACGCGGGAGGTGAGTGTCCGAGGGCAGGTGGAGCGACGGAGGGCCTGGCCTGGAGCTGGCCTCGGGTCCTGAGGCCCGGCCTGGGACTTCCCTGCCCTGCGGAGAAGGGGCAGACCTGTTGACAATTTGCTCCTGGCCCCTTCCCGCAGTGGCTTTTCCTACCTTACTAGTTGTGGGCTGTGATTTGGAAACTGTCATGGAGCCTGCAGGGTGTGGGGGAAAGAGGAATCGTGGGCAAGCAGGCAGGCACCGCACTCTGTAGCCTGAAAGCCAGCGTTTAAATGAAATGTTTTTCTCCGGCGACCAGAATCCTTCCCCACTGGCCACATCGGTGAACACAGCTCAGGGTTCCAGCCTCCCCTGTAAGCAGACCAAAGAGGGTGGTCACTGGCTTTTTAATTAACACATTTCACACTCTGCGTCCTCCATTCATTCTGTGCGTCTGTAGGGGGTGCTCAGGCCAGGGTTTCAGAAGGCTGTGTCTGGAAAAGTGCTGAAGATAACGCTTTGTCATCTTGGAAAACTCCCACCTCGGAGTTCGTAGGTTCTAGGTATAGGTTGCGAGATGTTCCTTAACACTTGTAAGTACATCCTTGACGGTTAAATGGGTGTTACAGCACTGCCCACTTCATAGAAGGTCACGGTGAAATTCGAGATAATGAGGGCAAAGTGCTTGCCTGGACACCAAAGCTCTCCGTAAATGTTAACTGTTCTCTGCCAGTTTTTATCTGTAAGAACTCCACATCCCTCCATCTCTTCAGTACTCCTCGTTGTACATTTAACATGATTGTTTTAGATAAACTACAATCCTTTACATAATTTACATTACAATTAGGGCTAGATAGGCCAGTTCCTTCTTGAAAAGTGGGGAAATACCTCATCAACCGTGCCTTCCAAACCCATCCTAAGGCGCTCTACTGGGAGCTAGACATTTTCACTTGGTTTGAAGTTGGCCTTTCTTTTTTTTTTTTTTTTTTTTTTTGAGACAGTGCCTCAAGCTGTCCCCCTGGGCAGAGTGCCGTGGCATTACAGCTCACAGCAACCTCCAA